AGACCCAAAAGTCCCGGGTGGGCCAGTTGACATTTCTGTGTGGAGTTTGCATGTTTTCCCTGTGTTGGCGTAGGTTTCCTCCGGGTGCTCCAGTTTCCCCCAAAGACATGTGCTTTAGGTGAATTGGGTTAGCTAAATTGACCGTAGTGTATGAGTGTGTGTGAATGCAAGAGCATATGAGTGTTTTCCAATGCTGGAAGGGGATCTGCTGTGTAAAGCATATGCTGGAATAGTTGGCAGCTCATTCTGCTTTGGCGACCCCTGATAAATAAGGGATTAAGCTGAATGAATGAATGTTTTTCTCTCTTTTATTTCCTCTTTTAGACCCGACGAGGCGAGGGAGGAGAAGGTGACACCGATGAATCCTGGAGCTCACCAGAATCCTCTGATGAAGAAGACGGAGGGCCAGACCATGTGCAGTGCATGTCCTCCTGAGCCACACACACACACACACACACACACACACACACACACAAATGCATACACTTTGCCATATATTTAAGCACATACATTCTAGTAACACACTGGTACACAAATAAACACTGAAAGGCCAGCAACAGACAAACACACACACATACACACACAGCTTTATACACACAGTGTTAGGGAGAGGGAAACGACTGGCAAAATCTGGCTTTATGCTCCACACACACACTCAAATGACATCAATAGGAGAGATCTGATATGGAGATGCATATTTTTGATATTTTTGCAACCACACACACTCACACACACAATTAACCACTCTGATTTTAGACAAACACGGACACAGGTGCATTTCATTTTCAGTTACAGCGGATGACGGAGAAATGTCGCCTCTAATGTTTTGCTGCCTTAGCTGGTTAACGATCTTAAAAGCAGCATGTTACTTCAGCAAGACGCAAGGCTCAGAAGAGGAGGTTTCTCACTCTGTACTGTAGTAAAACAGTTGAAACTTTAGTTGGTTTGGAGCATGATGGGACAGTACGGATACACAAAGGCAGTCCTGCAGATTACTGAGCTGATGAGTGTTACTTTATTCAAAACCAGCACCATCCTTTTCCCGGCCTCATCAGATCTGAACTGCCTCTGTCTCCGACAAAGACTGCGCTGATGTTTGTTATTTTCAGACTGCAATCTTCATCTTTGATATACTGTCATTGAGCGTCTGGCTGTCCCCATCCTGTCTATTCTTGGTTCTCTTTCCCTGTGTGTGTGTGTGTTTGCTGAAGCAAGACACAGTGAATATTTTCTCGAGGAAAATCATGCTCTCTTAGATCTGACTGAAGTTGCAGAAGAATAGCCAGAGCCGCTTCATCTGGCTGTTTTTGCTCTGTTCCTCTCTCCCATGCTACTGAGTGCACTTTAATCAGGGATCTGCTTTGAGTTTTCAATCTCTATGACGAGTGTGCACTTGGGGGGGTGGGCGGGGGCATGCAATACTTGGATTAAATGTGTTTATTTTGATTAATTACGTTCTCATGCTTTGCCCGGCAGTTGCCCGAACTTATAGTGGACTTTTAAATTGACTACAGATTTGAACACCAGCTCTTTTGGGGTTTTTTTTTGGATTTGCACTTGGGTGGAGATACTTTATGGAGGAACTCCAAAAGGCTTAAAAAAACAAAACTCTCTGTGGACTGCCGTCAATTTCTCAGCCCTGTCCACTAGAAATTTGAGAAGACGTGCTTTAGAGCCAGTGATTTGTTCAATCCATGTTTCTTCCTCTATCTTTTGTTTGAAGGAACATCCTCCAGATCTTCGCCTCGATAGTGAGGATCAAATGTAGCAGGATGTTTCCATGTTTGCCTGAAGAAACTGAAGCCATTTTTCATAAAAATGGTGGCGTTTGGATTCAGCTGGATAAGCGCTAAGCATGGACGGACTGTGACCTGTTGCATGTTGAAAAAAGTGATTATTTGTGAAGGATGGGTCATCGGCAGGCGCTGGAAAGCACTTGTAGGTACACAGGGAGGGGTAAGACGCGTGAATTACTTTGCCCCTTTTTTCCTTCTTCTTTTGTGAGGGGAATAAAGTCTCAACTTTTCTCTTTTTGTATGAGAAGAATAACTTAAATGACTATCTGTATATACAAATATATAAAGATATTATATATATATAAATATTAAACACCTGTAAAAATCATCTTTAACCATTGCTCTTTTAAAGGGTGTCTAAATTTAATTGGTATTGATGCAGAGGTTTATATTGTACAAGACGAAATACTTTTAAACGAATGGAAAACATTGGATCTATTTTTCTTCCTTTTTTTTCTGAATTACAACCCTGATTGTCACTGAAGTTCAAAGCATTAACTTCTGTTCATGTTCATTTGCTCATTCTCACTTGTCTGCTCAAAATGTCTGTCCTATCACTGGCATGTGTTTTTTGTTTTTTCTTCTTTCTTTTTTTAGGGTTTTGATCAGAGTTTTCCCACCGCTGCCTAATATTGTGTTCTTTCAGTTCAGTTCAGACAACATGTACAATTTGTGCAGTAAAAAAAGAGAGAAAAATCTGTTCTTTTGTTTCTGACCAAGTGCCTTATTGTTTCAAGTCTCTTCATTTACTGCAAATACAGTAGGGAATTATTTCCTATCTAATTACATGCTGCCATATGCACTTGATCATAGTTTATATGTAGTTATTGCTATTTAATTAATTGTATTGGTAATTACAGATACTCGTTTTCTGCATCCTATGCTTAGACAGGAAATAAATAACAAAACATTACATCCGAATTGTTTAATAGGAGATCTGTCGTGTGCAGTTTTGACATTTGATCAGCTAAGAAAATTGACTATAAAATTATGGTAACACAGTAAGGTCTTGTTATTTTAACTTGAGTTACTGCTTTAGTTTACATGAATTCACAACACACTTATTATCAACATTTTTTCTTGTATCTTGTATGTTATATTGCGTATATTTTTATGTTAAGTAGTGTTGCTTTCAATTTTCAGTACATAAATTTAGAAATTCATAATAGATTTACTGGATATGCAGAAAAACAAGTCACATGTTGAAACTGATTGGAAATAAACTATTTTATTTATGTCATATATTTTATGAAAACAATACTATTAATCACATGTAAATTGGCTTGCCAATTAATTGTACCTCGATTTAAGAACCTTTTCTTGATTTAAGAATTTTTGCAAATTTATTATTAAAGTGTAAAGAAGCCGCAGCAATGTCGATAAGTGTGTTTGAGAAAATATTAAAAATTGTCAAATTAATTAAATGGTAATTGTGATGGGAACAAATATGTTTTGTAGACTGCAAATAGAGTTTATTAAATGTTCCTTAAAATTTTAAAGAACATTATAATGAATCTCCCTTTAATAATGCATGTTCCCTTCAAATGAGTAATTATTTTTTCTTTGGAATGTCTAAAATGTTTTACATTTACTTTCAAACAACCTGCAGAAACCCTGCTCTGGTATTATGCTTAACACTTCTGTACTGTTGGGGATGTTTTTATCCACTCAGGGGTGTCTTGCAAGAGTCTAAAATTGACCATAACGTTTTCTGTGTGTCAGCTAGCAGAATGATTTTTGATGACAAATCTTATTTTTTAACATATTTTGAGAAAATGCTTTAAAAAAACACGCTCCGGGCAAATGTACTACCCTTTTGTTATGTTTGGGATGAAAACAACCACTAAATTAAACTGCTGTAAACATGCATCAGATCAATATTTTTTGACATAATTTTTTTCATAAATCTGTTAATCAACCTCAGTCCTGATCAAAACTACTGAATTGTTTAGAAAATTACAGGATTTTAACTTTAATTGTCAAACTCATAAATGATGTCACTGATTTAGTGGAAAAAACACACAAATTTATGTATTTTCAATATAAAAAGTAATTGTGTACTAACTAGATTATTTTACCTTTTATCACAGTCTTGGACATGTGAAACTATGTTGCTTTTGATAAATTGTTTTTGATTAATTTTCTTTTTTTTTCTCCCTGATTTACTGTTGGTGGCTGTTTTTGCCCCATTGACTTTATAACCACATTTTTATCACAAAGCCATGACACCATATAATCATGCATTTTTGATTGTTGGCGGTGTTCCCTCTTGGGATGAGGTCAAATTTTTAATTTTTACTATTGAACAGCAGTTGGCAGACTTCACCCTTAGATAGGCCTGTGCAAAAAAAGCTTAGTTTCTGGATTTTATATGGAGTATTATTACAACAGGAAATTAAAGTGAAAAAAAAAAAAAAGAATAACGCGTTAAAGCCAATGTTGTATACATTATTACATATTAATAGTTAGATGTCCAAGATTTTTTTTTAATCCAGTGCACTTTTTATATTGAAAATGTCATTTTGTTTTTTTCCCCACCAAATTAGTGACATCATTTATGAATTTAGCAAATTAGGGAGTTAAAATCCTGTCATTTCCTAAACAATTTAGTATTTTTGGACTGAGGTGGATTAAAAGATTTATGCCAAAAACAAAAAAAGTAAAACATTGATCTGATGCATTTTTACAGCAGTTTAATCTAGTGGTTGTTTTCATCAGAACTTAACAGAGGGGTAGTACATTTAAACGGGGTTAAACTAATATACATGGATAAACAATAAAATTGCACATTGTGGGTGCACTCTGGTTGCTCAATTTTGAGGATGGGTAACCAAGTGTAGCTACAAAAAAAAGTCTTGCCTTCTTTAAAAAAATATTTTAATGCGCTCTTCATAATAACACGATAATGTAATTATACACATAGTTTCAATGCAGTTTTTATAGATTTAATGGTATTGGTCACGGTATATATTTAAATCGAATTATTGGTTAAAACCGTTAAAACATTTAAATTATTAGCACTGACCACCAATCACACACATGAAGGGCACAGGGGATGCGACTCACACGATCCTTTCAAAATACAAGCCCCTGCTCGTTTGACTCTTTGCTGACCTGCATTTTAAAATTACACGTTTCAACTTAAACTTCACAGACTTTTAAATTGTTTCAATAACGCTCTAAATGTCAGCATTATGTGGTTTAAAGGAAATGGTATATTCCAAATAAAAGACTTGACTTTTAGTTTGAAAGTTGACCGTCCAGCTTTTATGTCGTAGCAGGTTACCTGCTCGCGGCGAGTTCGCAATTGTTGCCTTTTTGCAGGCAGTGTTAGGTTATTTGGCCTTCTTAAGTAACACATTTTAAACTTTAGGTAAGTGGTTTTTGTGTTCTATCCTTTCCCTCACACAACGAATTTGCACATTTTTCGTACATCTTCTAGAAGTCTCGTTTTATCGTCTTCCGAGCGGCGAGGGCCTGTAAACGCAGGGCTCAGTGCGGTCGGTCCTCTTTGTCTACTGTGAGGATTTCTCTTCACGTTCATTCATTCATCTCGGCACATGTGCTGTTTAAAAACAATGCATTGCATTCTTTTTCCTAAAAGAAACTCAGTGCTGCTTCGTGGTAAATTAGGAAAATTATACTGAATTGTTTGTTCCTCACGATGCACAAACACACACACACCCTCAATTACAGCACTGCAGCTCTCAGGGCGTGCTGGGTAACGCTATATCAAATCAAACTGTTGATTTGCTAATATTATCTGGTGCTATTATTATGACGATAAGCTTATATGTTTAATTACGGGAATGTGTTATGTCTTGCATTTTACACAGGCCGTTTGGCTAATATACATATACATAAAGAGAGAAATGTGTCGTTCTAACATAATGTAATGTGAATTTGAAGATTTCTTCTTATACATTTAAAAATTTTAATGTCTTACTTGAGTTTGAGTTTCTTGAGTTAAGTTTGTTTTTTTTTTTTTTAGAAATGTATGTAATCCTCTAAAATTACACTTTAAAATTGTCTTTAACAAATGTCAGTAAAGACTTGTTTTACAATGGCTTTATTTTAAATTAATATTAAAAATAAAGCATTGGATTATGAAGAATCTTCGTATATAATAATAATAACTAATTAATGATTGAACTCAAAACAATCAACATAATAGAACAACAAATCAGCATATTAGAATAATTTCTAAAGTGTGTGTATAGAATATAGCAGTCTTGTAATATTCAGGCTGTCTGTGAGGTCTTAAAGTCTTACATTCACTGAAATGTTGTGTTGTAAGTCTTAAATCATTTTAAATACATCTTAATTTCCTTATGTCCATGTAAAGCCACCCAATCGGGCCAACACCCATCCGACATTGAGGTAAAGTTGGGGTTTTTTATTCAAACTTTCAAGCTTTTTCCTTAATAATAGTTTCAGAAAAGTTTACTTTGCCAATTCTAAATCGAGAAACTATATCAGCAGCCAATGACTATCACAGTACAACATCGGTCAGTCTATTAAATACTCCTAATGTTGTTTTGGAGTCACACTTGCATGTTATTTTAGATGAAATATACAAACCAGCATGGTAAACAACATAGGGAAGCATTGTAATGAATGAATGAATGAATGAATGTGTGAAAATAAAACCAACTTTACCTTAATCCTATCAGTCCATCTCAAGTGTAAAAAAAAAAATCTATTTCTATTTATTAACTTATGGTCTAATTATTTTACTTACTATAACATTTGTTTTTAATGTTTTAACTGGGCCATTAGAAAAAAATCCTTGGTGTTTAGCTTTGTGTAAGTTTAAAAGTTCATTCATAATAGTCTATAAAAGATCTTAAAAAGTCCTAAATTTGACTTGATCAAACCTGTAGTAACCATGAATAACAAACACACTATTCCAGCTATTTACTTAACCAATTTGTTGCCCCATTTGTGTTAAAAATGTATGTTAATCAAATGTGCTAACTGAAATCTAACCAACCTTGGTCAGTACTAATGAGGTGTGTTCATGTCTTTACAGTTAATTGCTACAACTGTGACTTCAAATCCACAGTACTGCAGTTGGAAGTGCTGTTCACTGGTTTGGTGCTGGAATTGTGATTTTGCTGCGAGGAATCTACAGTGTGACCTGCTGTCTTCAATAAACCCCAACGCCATGGAGTGAGTCCCAAACATTAACATCATCTTATGTGTGAAAAATGTATAGGAGTCAGAGATCATTTAGGAATGTTAGAATCTATCTAAACCATTTACAAATGACTAAACGCATCAACAAGCTGCAGAAAATACTGTAATAAATGTCATAAAGTTGGAAAATGTTAGTCGCTTTACCTTTTGAAATGGACTGAATGTCTCTTTTCACTGCCCTAGTCGTGCTTCGAGTGCAAGTCAGCTGATTGCCAGCAATGTCACAAATAAAACGGACCCACGATCCCTGAACTCAAGGGTCTTCATTGGAAACCTAAACACTATGCTGGTCACCAAGGCAGACGTTGAAGCCATTTTTAGCAAATATGGCAAGATTGTTGGCTGCTCTGTGCACAAGGGTTATGCTTTTGTTCAGTTTGCCCAAGAAAGAAATGCTAGGACTGCTGTACAAGGAGAGGATGGACGGATGGTTGTCGGACAGGTGCTTGGTGAGGACATTTAAAAAAAAAAATATATATATATATATATATATATATATATATATATATATATATATATATATATATATACATACACACACACACACACACACGCACTTTTTTTTTTCTTCAATGTTTTTTTTTTTTTTTTCCTTGAATTGAGCTTTGAATCTTGTCTTTCGCTCAGATGTTAACTTGGCAGGAGAGCCCAAACCTCACAGGTCAAAAACTACAAAGCGATCAGCTGGGGACATGTACAGGTAGGAAATACATTTATTATTGTTTTTACCTATTTTAATGTTTTATTTCAGAGGGTGTTGTTCACACTTTAACTTTGGTCTGGCTAAAAAAAAAAAAGATACATTAGATTCTGAATTGCTTAATGTTCACTCTGTCAATTTTAAGAACCTACAGATACAAATAAAGGTTATGATCGGGCCAATTGGAACAAAACACTGACTGTGACTTTCCACATGGGATTATTAGTGTGCACGCCCAAGGCTGCGTTTGATTGGCCACAACATTTTCGAGAGAGATTGCAATGATAATTCTGCCTCTTATTTTTAAGTTTATCTAAGTTTATATTAATCTTGCTGCGCAATAGCCCAGTGATTAGTGCGCCAACATATGGTGTGTAAATGCTCCGAGCGTCTTGAGTTTGAATCCTGGCTCATGTACTTTTCCCGATCCTACCCCCTTCTCTCTCCCACTTCACTTACTGTCAACTTACTGTGCTCTCAAATACAGGCGAAAATGCCAAAAATAAATCTTAAAAATGAAAACTGCCTATGTGGGACTCTTATTTTGAAAATAGGGGAGGCAGTGAGACTGCAGAGCGCACAACACCTGTACACAGTAATAAACCTCATTTGTTCATGCCAAGGTTTGATATTAATTCCATCCACCGATTAGAGATCTCCACCACTTCTGTTGAAAAGGTTTAAAAAGGAATCTACTCAATTTGGTAATAGTTTTAAGTGTGGTTTTGTTTTTTTGTGCTTGCTTAAGCCACATTCCTACAATGTAGATATCAGAGAACAATTTTGCATGTTGATTCAGTGCACTGAAGAGTGCCTTTAAGACTTAATTGAACACTAAAAGCAGACGCACAAGATCATTTTAATCAAACCAAACCTAAAAAATGGGAACATGCCCTCATTTACCACATTTTATGTTGTCATCATTGCTATAATCTCGAATTTTCCAAAATCTCTCCAGCAGTAGCTCGTCTTTCGAGCTTGATTATGATTTCCAGAGAGATTACTATGACAGGTAAGACTTTAGTCATCAATGTGTCTTCTTAATACTCTGCATGCGTTTTTACTGAAAGTATGTGCTGTTATTTCTTATAATCTTATACTCCTTGTGTTGTGCAGAATGTATTCATACCCTTCCCGTGTGCCTGCACCTCCCCCTCTCTCACGAGCCGTGATCCCATCCAAGCGTCCACGAGTCAGCACGAGCGGAGCAACCAGTCGTCGCACCAAGTCCAGCTTCGCAACTTCATCCAAGAGCAGCCAACGGACATCCTCTCGAACCCGTCAGTACCTCTTAAATTATTCTCACTCTTAAGATGGTTTCTTTTTAAGGTTGTAGTGTTTAATACATAATTGGAAGGGTGGAATAATGTATTTGCTGTTAATTTATTTGCCCTCATGCTATCAAAAAATGTAGATTTTTAGTTTTTCTGATTGAGTGGAACATTAAAGTTGAAGTTAATGAATCGCAAAAGACAATGGTTTCAGCTAAACATCGTTAATGGACACTAGAACTTTGATAGTCAAAAAATACCTGTAAAACTAAATAATAGAGCTAGTTCCTGATGTTGCACTGAATCCTATGAAGTGTAATGGACAGTCTGTGCGAGAAGCTAGAGATTTTTTGCAACTTTATTACCTTTAATCCACAGCTCTGCAAACTGTCCAGAGCATGCTCCTGAGCACAAGCTTCCTTCCTCTATTATGACAATCTTACATGCAAGCTGTGTGTTGTATTGTTCATCAAACGGTGTTTGTTGTTCAGCTTGGATGCTGCAACCTCCATAGCAAGTAGGGCTGTGGTGAAAATGCATTCTCAATTGATTGTGAGATTTTCAAATTGCTTTGTTTTTCACTCTTGAATAGGGTATATGCACATAGGCTTTTAATTTTCACCCAGCCAGTCTAATTGCTACTGGAAAACTATTGTGCCATTACAAAATTGCCACTTTGAAGATCACTGATTTATTAAGAAATCCGATCTTAACTGCCTGATTGATAAACAAAATTAAGGGTCCCAGACCAGACAAGAAGTACTGCATTAAATTCCATTTTTCTTTTCAAATACGTAAATGTATTTTACCCCAGTATTTTTAATGGAGTTTCCGCACTGACCTGCTGCCACTGATGCCACTCGCCTTTACACTTTCATCTCATTTTATTCTTGGACAACTTAATAAAGGGGTTAAGTCTATTTAACTCATTGTATTTTAATTGCATTACAATATCGATGATAAAATTCAAAATAGCCATATAAACCTTTCACCTGAAGCTTATCGTTGGCTGAAATCACTAGCTGTGCTTATACCCCATTGATTCTGAGCTTAGTTTTTAACAGTAGATGGCACTCGAAACTAGTGATTAACCATACACTCAAAAGCTCATTACCAGCTGAGTCATGTAAATTGCTTTGAAACTAAGCTCAGAATAAATTCAGGAAAAATTAGCAACGCTTTCTGTATATCTCAGATTCAACACGCAATCGATTTTTCAATTGATTTTTCACCACTGTTCTAGAAAACAGCATCGGGTCACGTTATGCTGAGTTCAGACTGCATTTTAGCCCTGATTTTTGACTCGCTGACAAGTTTGAGAAATCGCAGACAAATGCCTGAAATCTCAGGCAAGTCGGTGCTCGTTCATGCGAGAAACAATCAGTGTGAACTATCAAAGACGTGATCTGAGAGATTCACTGAGAATGGCGATTCAAATCATGCCGTGTGAAATGTGTTCTGATTTAAATTAACATCGCCGATTTACCTACAGCCAATGAGAGAGCAGCATCCACTAGTATGGGTATCTGCAGGCCAGCGGGAGGTTGGGGGAGAAGTTAATTGTGTTCCTTTTCAGTCTATTTGGACCCGAGAAATGAGGGAAAAACTAGTGGAAATTTGGCAGGAGCACCTGTGGTCAAACAGAAAAAAAGTTGAGGAGAAATTTCTAATTCCCTTCAAATGCCAAGTAAGCAAAATAAGTACATTGTCGTAGTTTGGGGGCTGAGATAACCATGTCGGCCATTCTCCTACTCCAAAGTCATAAAGTGTGAAACTCCATCACTGAACCATCCTAGAGTGTAAACACAGCAGCGATGGACTGCTACCCCAGACAGTCATGCAGTGTGAAAACATCCGTAACACAACTACTTTGAAAATCATGCAGTCTAAACATGGTATAAGCTTACCATAGAAATTAATCTTGTTGCTTGTAATGTGTGTCATTTTTTGGTAGCCATTAACTCGCAACATACAAACAGGGCTCGAAATTAACCTTTTTGCTTGGTAGCACCGGTGCTCCTAACTTTAAAAATTTAGGCGCATCAGCCAAAATTTAGTCGCACCCACCAATTATGAGCACCGTTACTACAAGTTTTATACAAACATATTGATTGTATTTGAAATCAACACTAATCAAACTAACAAGCAAAAAAAATATATATATATATTTATATAAAACGTTATATGCAAGCGTGAGGAAAATATGTCTGAACAAAATCCTGTTATCACAAGAAAATAGATTTTTATAACATAACTGAGTGACCAAAGCATACACGGAGCGCTCACCAGCCCTGCACGCACTGCTTGAATTAACGTGTTAACGGTATAACTAGTAAGATGTGTCATTATTTGTAACTGTAGATGCCATGGTTTCTAAAACAAAATCTGTCAAGTGTTATGTTATCTTCATTCTCATCTTCAGCGCTTTACAATTTTTCGCGGTAGTAGCTCTCTGTCATCCGAAGCCAGAAGGCGCTGAGTGATTGACAGCTGATATTAACCAATCATTCGCGTTCGGTGCTAGAGCAGTGGTGGGCCAATAAGAAGAGCGCGAAGGCGGGGCGAGCATTACGGACTTGGATTTGTTTACTGCAGCAAGTTGACATGACAACTGTTTTAAACCATTCATGAGCGCTGCGTTTTGCGTTTCAAGTGCAGACAAAGAGCTTAGAGATGCATTCTGCGTGAATGTCTCCCGAATCCGCGCATGTGCTGAACATTTTGGAGTAAAAATTGGTCGCACACTACAATTTTAAACACTCTCAGAAATGCTCCCAAATATATTTCAAGGTCGCATAGATAAAATTTTGGGCGCATATGCGACCAAAATGGTCACAATTTCGAGCCCTGTACAAATGACTAATGACCGGTTTGTATAAAATTGAGCAAAATGTTTCCTACATGATGGATGACCAGAGGATTAACTTAACAGAAGAGTAAATTAACAGCATATTTTCATGTTTGGACTGTTATTATAACTGTCCTGTAAATACCACATTCTTTATTTTAAGCCTTCCTTGCCTGTCGGTTTTTACATGAATTTAGTTTTTCTTTTTCTTCAGTAAAAGCAGATGATCTTCAGACTATTAAGAGAGAGCTTTCTCAAATCAAGCACAAGGTTGACTTTCTTCTGGAGAGTCTGGACAGGATGGAAAAGGATCACGGCAAGAAATCTGGTAAAAAAAAAAAAAATCTTTTTACCTCTAATATATTTTTAGTTCATATTTGTTTATTTATTTATATAGCATCTTTCACAATGTAGATTGTGTCAAAGCAGCTTTACACAGTTCTAGTAAAGTCCAGTTTTCAGAGTTAAGGTTCAGATTAGTTCAGTTCAGCGTGGTTTAAATTTTACTGCTGCATGTTCAAACACTGTAGAGCAAATCCCCCGAAGTGAAGCTCCAAGTCCCGATCCAAGCAAGCCAGTGGTGAGGGAAAAAAAAACTTCACCAATTGATTTTACAATATAAAAAAAAACAATTTTCTGTTTCATATATTTTTAAATGTTTTTTATTCCAACAAAATGCCAATAATTGCAGTCTTTAATGTCAGTTATTCATCACAAATAATTGTAATACGCTGATCTGAAGCACAGAAAACGTATTATCAATGTTGAAATGGTTATGTTGCTTAATATTTGTGTAAAAATAAAATTACTTATAAGTAGGCCCAAACGGAATCTGTGCGCAGAATTCTACAGATTTTTAGCCAATCATTGATTCTGTTTATTTACGTGAGTAAATTTATATTTATTCAGTTTTAAAATTAGTTACAGTAATATTGACTAACATGAAAATATTTGTGATTTATTTACAATACAGTTTGTACAGTAATATTTTCTGTCTTTTAGTAGAGATATGAAAGACTTGCTTTGTTTACCAAATAATGTGGATCTAATTGGATTTAAATTGTAAAAATTAAATACAAGTCAAAAATGTATTACTTTTTATTTCATATGTTAGGGTTTTAGTTCTGATACTCCCAAAAGTCATTTCGCATAATCCTGGCCCTGCTTATGTTATTATAAATAAATAGAAATTACATTTAATGTTTTATTTGTTAATTTATTTTGAAATAAACATTTAAAATGCATTTTATATTCATTGCTTATCTGTCTACTGTTACTTCAGAGGGGAAGAGTGTGAAGGCAGAAGTTGGTGAGGTTTCTCCCCTCCAGCATTCCAGCAAGAAAGAGAGAGAGAGGGAAGAGCAAGAGATAAACGATTCAGAGGAGGAGAGAGATCTGCTGGGGGAGGAAGAAGAAGAAGAAGAAGAGGAAGAGGTGTGTGTGGTGGTTGCTGGAGGAAGACACCCAAAGCCGTGTGATATTCTGATGTTGCTGAGGCTGACAAGTGTCTTTGTTCTTCTCAGGTTAAAAGCCAGGGTGGAGAGAATGAGAATGAGGAAGAGGAAGGAGAAGAGGAAGAGGGTGAGCATGAAGAAGGGGAAGATGATGGCGATAGCATTAATGGTGACGACTCGTAATTTTAAACGCTCTGGATACCAGACTTCCACTCAGATTTCAGCCCTTTCAGTTCTTTTGAAAAGGTTGAAGCAAGTCTTTAAAAGATCCATCTATGATGATGTAGATGTCTGTGCTCTTATCTTAGCTGACACTGCGATCACGTCAGTTTGAGTGATGTCAGTTTATTTTTAATGTTAGCATGACATCTTTCAGGCTCTTGAAGTATCCCTCAACCTTGAAGAAGATAAACGTCTGTTTTCAACACAAACTATTACATTCTCCACTTAATCTTAATCATTGAGACGTGAACCAGAGATGTTTTTATTTATCACTAGCAGAATATGTCTATAATGCTTTCTCTGTGTGGATCTGGCTTCTTCCTTGTTTGCCCTTTTGTCTCTGGTGAGTTTTTTTTTTTCTTTCTGTGAGCAAAGTTAAAATTTGTATTTTAAAAAGGGGGAAACTTTACAGTGACTCCTTTACAGAGTCACCGAAGCTTCCAGTGAGCATCTATGTTTGTATTTACCTGTCTTTTTATATTGCCCTGTTTCAGAATAATTCTACAGGATCATTTCAATAAAATATTAAATTAAATTGTGCTTTTTCTTTTTTTAAACAGATGGAAATAGTTTTTATTTAGTTTTTAAATAGTAATATTTAGGATTAGTCAAACTGTTGTTTTTCCAATTATTTGTATTTGTATAATTATGTATTTATATAGACGTTCACAAGGGAAAGATCAGAAAACCACTGAAACTAGTGTAACTTCCCGGATCATCAAAAACCCAGGTGTTGCTGTAAAGCTTTGTATACATTTGATCACCGGGCTCCAGTGTGAGAACAACACCATTGCTGCCATTGGCATTGAATGTAGGTTTATAAGCAAACACAGAGCACTGGGTTACACCATTTTTTTGTAAACTGATTGCCATTGTGGTTCCACCGTGACAATGACCATAAAATCTGAAATAATAGACTCCTTTCACTGGTGCTGTGAAAATACCTGTAAGGTACAAAAGTAGCCAGAGAACATGTCATTGTTAAGCAGGAGTACAGTCTGATTTCCATTTATTGTATAAATTCTCTTTACAGCACTTACCAGTATTTAAGTCATAAGCATTTCCAACATTACTGAAGACTTTTTTGTAGATCAGAATTTGATCTGAATTAATGGGTCCAGTGTTTCCTTCTCCAGATGCAAGAAGCCCAGCTGAGAAGGCCACCTTGTTGACTAAATAAGCAAACAGACTAATGTAAAATATTAATTTTAGCATTTACATGTCTACTGTGTACCATTTACTTGCCTTTATTGTCCTTTTGGAAATTTTCCATCTTATTTTGAGAATCTTGCAGTAAGGTTTTCAAAGCTGTTTTTTAGTGGGGGTTTGAAACATAGATATATTGTTACACATCTAATATTATATCAAAATGACGTTCAATGAAAAGCAGCTAGAGTTTTAACCTTACCTTCATTTTCACGTAGTACTTTGGACAGTGTATCTTCTAATTTTTGAATCCTTTCCTCCATGTTTTTCAGCTTCTCAAGTTCAGTAATTATGTTCACATTTGGTGAAAATAAGTCCTCTGCAATTGAGCTGCCAACACAGAACAGCAGAGCGATTTGTAACACCACCATCTCTTTTACTTGAATAACTCCTGTGATTGTTCTGCTATTGAAGTTGCATAAGTTGTACTTTAGACTGATGATGAGAAGGATTTGTTTATTTAAGTTGCCCGTTAGGACAGGTCCGATGTTCGACTGAGTTACAGAAAGTAGTCCAGTATTTCCCCTTTTGTAAAAAAAATAATAATAAATAAATTATGGTGTACTGAAGTAGTATTCTGTCATGCAAAAATATGCAAAAAAGCATAATCAATCGTTATCATATCAGAGAACACCCAAAACAGTTTTTCATTTGCTCACCTTTCGCCCGTTTCAAACTTTTGAGTTTCTTTATTTTGCTGAATACAAATGAAGGAATGTTGAAAATCGGTAATTTGTTTTTCACTACTTGTTTTTCATGAAATGGATATTACTGTTTGCTATTTTCAACAATAAACTCAACCTTTCCTTTAAGAAGGACATTATTATGACCGTCCAATCACATTTCCGGATCGATTAGTTTAAAGGCGGGAATCATCATCCAGGCTGACCATTCAGCGTCAGTGGAGGAAGAAGAGAGGGGAAGTCAGATTAAGTCAGTAAAAGGTATGTTTAATAACAGCAATTTTTTATTAATATAAATGTCTATAGTTTATTCGCTCAATTAGTGTTTCGGCCGCGGAAGGACTTCAAAGCACTTAACAAACGTTTCTAATGTTACTTCACGAAAGCTATTCAGTATCCAAAAACCGTAAGTTAATATTGTTATATTAAAAAAATAATTGATTTCATGAGAAGCTACTTTTTACAAATGTTATTATTATATATATATATATATATTTTTTTTTTTTTTTTTTTTTTTACAAATGACTATGGCTTTTTGTAGGGACAGCATCCTCAGAATAGTAGCTTTATTTAGAACTTTACCGAATTACCAAAAGGAAAAAATCGAATGCGAATCTCTCATTCCACCACATTCCAAAGGTACTCTATTGGATTGAGATGCACAATTGGTACCAATGGGCCCAAAGTGTGCCAAGAACACCACCAACAGCCTGAACCATTGATACCAGGCAGGATGGATCCATGCTTTCATGTTGTTGACGCCAAATCTGACATTAACGAATATCGCAGCAAAAATGAACGTTTTTCCAATCTTCTGTTGTCCACTTTTGGTGAGCCTGTGCATAATGTTGGCATTATGATTGCTATAAATTAATGCCAGATTTACCACTAGATGGCATCATAATGGAAAATATGAATAGGCATTAGTTCAATAGTTTGCTACAAGTTCTGAAATTAAAAATGCCTAGTTTAGCATATATGTTTGCCATGTAAAGCAATTTTACAGACATTTAAAAAGTTGTAAATGTTTTAATGTTACATGGACTATTGTCACTTGATATTTGTTTTACATATTTTGATGTATAAATATTTCATAATCCAATCATTTTATAAAAGTTAAAATCCTCACTTTTTCCCTGAATGAATGTAATTTAGAAATACGTCATAGACTTCTTGGCATAGACTTTAAATAGGTTTTGAGCATGTCCTATTAACAAATGTCATTACCATTTAATGAAGGATTATGATTTTTTTGACAGTCTACACCGGATATGCGGTAACATCCAAGCGCTCTTCTTTTACTTACATCCCCCTTTTCATCACATCATCTCTCTCAAACGCTCTGCTTTGCTTCATCATTAACCACCAGCTGACGACTAAATAGGCTTTAACTCCACAGGCCACTAAATAAAGAGGCTGAAGCAAAGAGAACATGTAAGATCACGTTACATGATTTTTATTAATACTTCGCCTCTCGTCTTTCAATTTGTCAAGCAATCTTGAGCTATTTAGCGACCTTGCGCACACATATGATCTTGTGCATACTCTAACTGTAGCGCGCTCACAGAGTTTGAACATGTAGGCCGTAAAACTAAATTCTTATCTCTGATCAACAAACCGAACATGAATGCTAGTCGGTCGTGTGTCATATGCACCATTTTGGCCAAAGCAGAATTGCAAGCCAGAACTGACTGCCCAAAATGCAAAATGACATCTGTGAAACCTAAGGAGGTTTCAGCCTCGTCCCGGACTGACCTAGTGCCACATTCTAGCACCAAGGATAAGCCAAGTGCGACAAATAAGACACCCTCCACCCCATGCCCGTCTCCAGGCCATGTCTTGTATTTTTAGCCAAGATCTGAGCGCTGTAACACTTAATATGGCATAGGACGTCTTCCTGTGTGCCTTAAGAGCTCTTTCAACTTTATTACGTGCTACTTCAATCTTTATACTCTTTCATTCATGCTTAATCTACAGTTGTACCAAATGCACAAACTTTCCTTGTCATTTTTGGACCATTTGAATTTCTATTCAGAATACAAACGACTGATTTGAAATGTTTAATTTGTGAGAACACTTTATAATAACTACACACTATAAATCATCTATTAAGCATTAGCAAATAGTCAGTTTATTATCTGTTAAAGATTAACTCTACATTAACAGATGTTAGTAGTAAGCATAACTGCAGATAAAAATGCTCTATTCTTGACTAATAAGCACATATATAATGTTCTTATTTATTGTATTTTCATTATTTCCATTTCATTGTATTTTCATACTTTAATTATTATATGTTCATTAGTAAATTAAGTATCACATCATTTACAAACCAGTTATTTGAGAGAAGTTGCTGGTTTTAAAGATTATTCAGAATGCACAAGTAAAGGATTAACAAACTATTCAAATTAACATGTATATATCTTATTAGGCAAGTATTAATAGTTAATTTGTATGTTTTTAACTCAACTTCATCCAGTTTGTGACCTAATCTAAAGTGAGGACTTTTTATTCTTTATGCAGTGCATCCAGAAAAATTCATAGCTCTTTCCCTTTTCCACATTTTTTTATGTTACAGCCTTATTCCAAAACGGATTAAATTCATTTATTTACTCGAAATTCTACACGCAATACCCCATAATGACAATGTGAAAAAATATATTATTTAAATTGTTGCAAATTTATTAAAAATAAAAAACCCTGAAAAATCACATGTACATCAGTATTCACAGCCTTTGCTCAATACTTTGTTGATGCACCTTTGGCAGCAATTACAGCCTTAAGTCTTTTTGAATATGATGCCACAAGCTTGGCACACCTGTCTTTGGGAATTTTTGCCCATTCCTCTTTGCAGTACCCCTTAAGTTCTATCAGGTTGAATGGGAAGCGACGGTGTACAGCCATTTTCAGATCTCTCCAGAGATGTTCAATAGGATTAAGGTCTGGGCTCTGGCTGGGCCACTCAAGGAAATTCACTGAGTTGTTGTGAAGCCACTCCATTGATATTTTGGCTGTGTGCTTTGGGTCATTGTCCTGCTGGAAGATGAACCGTCGCCCCAGTCTAGGGTCAAGAGCACTCTGAAGCAAGTTTTTTATCAGGATGTCTCTGTACATTGCTGCATTCATCTTTCCCTCTATCCTGACTAGTTTTCCAGTTCCTGCTGCTGAAAAACATCTCCACAGCATGATGCTGACCAAACGTAACATCTGGCATTCACTCCAAAGAGTTCAATTTTAGTCTTGTCAGACCAGAGAATTTTGTTTCTTATGGTCTGAGAGACCTTCAGATGCCTTTTTTTTGCAAATTCCAGTGGCTTCCGTCTGGCCACTCTACTATACAAGCCTGATTGGTGGATTGCTGCACAGATGTCTTTCTGTAAGGTTCTCCTCTCTCCACAGAAGAACGCTGGAGCTCAGACAGAGTGACCATTGGGTTATTGATCACCTCCCTGTCTAAGATCATTCTCCCCCAATCACTCAGCTTAGATGAAGCTCTAGGAAAAGTCCTGGAGGTTCCAAACATCTTCCACTTATGGATGATGGAAGGCACTGTGCTCATTGGAACTGTCAGAGCAGCAGACATTTTTCTGTAACTTTCCCTAGCCTTGTGCCTCGAGACTATCCTCTCTCGGAGGTCTACAGACAAATGCTTTGTCTTCATGCTTGGTTTGTGCATTGACATGTTCTGTCAACCCTGGGACCTTATATAGAGAGGTGTATGCCTTTTCAAATCAATCAACTGAATTTACCACAGGTCAACTCCAATGAAGCTGCTGAAACATCTCAAGAATGATCAGTGGAAACAAAATGTAGAGTTCAATTTAGAGCTTCAGGACAAAGGCTGTGAATACTAATGTACATGTGATTTTTCAGGATTTTTATTTTGAATAAATTTGCAACAATTTCAAAAAAATCTTTTTTCACATGGTCGTTATGGGGGATTGTGCATAGAATTTTGAGAAAATAAAGTTACATAAAATATTGTGGAAAAAGTGAAGCACTTGTACTATAGCAGTATAGGGTCAGTAAGCCCTTGTTAAAAGTAGAAATCCAATTCCTGAAATCAAGAAATAGTGATAAAAATAATTATTAATATGCAAATCAATTAAGATTAAGATGGGCTGCACTACTGTCTCTATCTCTCTTATTTGCAAACTCTCTCTCTCATGTCAATCTCAGTATCTCTCTTTCTCATATCAATCTATCACTGTCTCTCTCTCTCTCTCTTTCTTCCCCATATCAATTTATCAGTCTCTCCCTCTCTCTCTTTCTAAGCCCACCCCCTAAAACACTCTGGACCCTGTTGCTCGTCTCTTTTAGCCGTGTGTTGGGGTTTCAAACAGGGGGCCTCAGGACTTGGTCTTGTCTGTTCTGGGTGGCGGGGATCACAGGTCCTTTCGAATCCAATTTTATGTTTTAAATTCAGTGGAACTACACATTTCCCTACTTTAAGTATTGAATCATGAAGTGGAACCTTGTGTTCCTTGGGCTCCTCCTGACCTTCGGGCAGCTGTCATGGGGCCAGAAGGGTATGGACATCCCGGAGTACGATGGAAAGGACCGCGTTCACGAACTTAACGCCAAGAATTACAAGTCTGTGATGAAGAAATATGACGTGATGGTGGTGTACTACCATGAGCACGTAGGATCCAGCAAAGTCGCCCAGAAACAGTTTCAGATTGAAGAGCTGGCCCTTGAGGTGGGTTTGGGCAAAGGGAAAGGGGAGTTATTGGTAAGAGCGATTACCAGTTTAACTGTAGGCAAATGTGAAGTGTGTTGCCACCCTGCAATTACACTCTTCATTTACATATATGCTTCACGTT